AATAGTGTCATTACAGTAACCAGCATTCTAACCAGGCTAAGGAAGTCTGAAAGAATGTGTAAACTGCCTTATAGGTGAGGAAATGTATACTAAGGACGCCATAGTCAGTGCCACTTCATAGCACAGGCTGGAGTCTGGGCCTAATCAGCAGGTGTCAGAATTCTCAGCTGTACCTGAAGAAGCACTAGATAAGAGCATCATGCAAGGTATAATATGTGTTGTCACATGTAGCTCCTTGGTAAACACTAAAAACTGTTAACCACGGAGTGGTCAGAGTTTAATGAAAGACTATTACTTACAGTATAATTCATTTAATTCAGATTTTTTTCATACTGTACCTACTGAAAATACTTGGGGCAGCAGTGAAGTGCTCCCTTTCCATCAAGAACTTAAGAGATTTGGGAAATAAAGCGATCTTGTGTGGAATAAACAAGGCAAATATCCAGAACAATATGAAACTTAAGAAAGCACATGAAAATACCTGACTGAGGAGAATAGGATCGCCCCTGCTGCCACTCGGGATCACCTGGGTGTGACTGCAAAGGAAATATAAGTGGGGCAGCTGGGAAAGGACTGTGAACAGAAGGGTGAGCATCCGCCTGGAGCAGTGGGATGGACACCAGAGACCAGGAGAGCAGGCCTTGTCAGCTGAGGGCCTGCGGATGAATCTTGACATTGGTACATATCTGGCAGTCAGCTCGCTTCCCCCAGTGACAGACATCTTCCTGTGGAATATGTACCAGGAGGCAGATCTGAACACACTGTATAGCTCTGCACTTACATATTATCCTTCTCAAGATCTTGGTTCTCTTTGAAGATATTAACTAATTGATCTTAAAATTTCCCTAATAAAAATAGGAGAGGGATAATATTTATTTTATAGTTGGGGGAAATTAAGTATAAACACATAGCAAATCATCCAAGTTTTTTTCTGTGTCCACTAAAGAGCATGTATGAATTATTGATGATTCTTCAGGCCAACTTACTTAGCTTAGCTATCCTTAATCCATTTATAAATAATTATTCTATTGAGCATAATGAAAACTATTTGTTCAGAAAACATGTAATAAGAACAAATTAAATTAGTTAGAGCTCTTAAAATGAGACAGATTGAGCAATCTGAGATTATGTGATGAATTATTGATGAATTTTTGGCTCAGTTTTCTCGTATAATATGAAAGACGTATAACTTCTTTGCCAAACTACGTTGAAAGTTGAAAATGCTTATGTGACAAAATACCTAGATATGCTGGATAAAGTAGTTGAACTTGCAATAAAGGGAAGTCCCCAAGGGCTGTGTTTATTTGGCTTACCCTTGTATCATCAGCACCCAGGAGAAGGCCTGGTACATAGTAAGCACTAAATAATAACTGATGCATGCTGCTAAATGAGTTCGGAAGAGAGTTTGAGAAGATCTGTTAACAGTAAGGGTGGGGCCAAGGAAGAAGAGGTTCCTGGACAGCAGGGCAAGTGCTAAGGCTGAGTCTTGCATTAACTAGCCCCACAGCTGATTAGGAAGACTGCTGGGCAATGGAGTCATGTACACTGTGAAGGTGCTGATCTACTCTTCTATGAACCTTTGATGACTATTTGCTGTTAGCTGATTAGTGCCTGGATAGCACCTGCTGTGAACTGGAACGCCACTAATAATAATCTGTTTTTCTTACAGGAGATCTTGTTAGAAAATGACAACAGAATTTTGCACACACACCAAAGGGGGCAAATGACTGTTCAACATTACAGATAGCTAAATGTGAGTATGTACAGAAAAGATGTGAGGCTTTACTGAGTTTATAAAGATCTTTTTCATACTCAGCTGATTTCTGATGTCAGTATCACCACAGAGTAGATTTCCTGAAAGATGTCTTACTATCTCATCAATGAGAATAGTCCTGGAGGAGAATGGGAATGCAGATGGTAGAAAGATTCATTGGTTTAATGCTGACAATAATTTTCATAATAAATTAGGCATATGAGAAGTTAATATTTGAGAAGAAAACATTAAGGCCTAAAAAATAATTTATGTGATATAATTCAGAAGGAACTATTGATTTTTTAAAAAGCAACCAATAAAAATTTTGTGCTTCTCATCATGAGTTAGTTGAATGATCTACTTATCTTACTCAGACTTAATTTAGTACTATCCTATTAAAGAAAGTAGAGCATTTGCCTATGGAACTCAGGAGTTGAAAAGTTCCTAGTGAATACCAGGATCCAGCACTAAGTTTCCAAGGTAATCTGTGATTGTGAAAAGTGAATAATGCAATAGCGGTTACTTCAGAATATTTTTTAAAAGCACACTGATTTTTCTATTTTGTTTTCTCTAAAAAGCAACTCATCCTAAAAATGCTATATTAGAATTGCAGCTTTAAAGAAACAGGTAGAAAAGAGGAAGGATAAAAAAGTACCACTGTGTTGTCCTCCTCACATCTGTGAGAAATACATTCTTCCTCAGGGGAACAGAACACAGTGTTCTGATTGTGGAATTCTGAACATGACAGTCATGTTGAAAATTAAAGCTACCAGCAAGGACTGAGCATAAGCCCGAAAGGCTGAAATCGCCCCTCCTCTTCCCTCACTGAGCATGTGTGACCTGCGGCTGAGTTCTCACTGCAGAACAACAATCTCTGAAAGAGCAGGGGAGGGGACCTAAGCGCTCTGGGCTTGCTACTTCATTTAATTTCACACCAACCCCGTGAGGTAGGTAATGTCATCCAAATTTTAAAGACGAGGAACATGTATCTTAAAAAAGCAATTTGTCTCGTGGGTAAAAGGCATAGCTAGAGTTACAACCTAGGTCTGATGAGCTCTGTTACAGGCTGCTGCTAGGAAAAAAAGACATTAATACAATATTTGACACACAGTAGATGCTCCATGAATCTGAAATGAACGGGCAAATAAATCACGTCATGCAGGATGACTTGCTGAGTGTCAGCAGAAAAAGATGGTAAGGCCAGGACTACACTCCATAGAATGGCTTTGCCAAATGTTGAGGACAATGGTATTTTAAGCACTAGACTGCAAGTCTCTTTAAGGAAAGTACTGTCTTTATTCCCCCTTGCCTAGAAAATGTTGGAATAAAAGAATATTTTATCTGACATTTAATCCTAATGCAGAGGATTACAAAGTTGTAGTTGTAATTGAGACTGTCTAGATTCAAACCAAATCAGTTTAAGTTTGTAGCCTTTACTCTTACAATGTTATTGTTGACTTTCAAAAACAGAACAAAACCAACCCCATTTAACCTGTCTTGAAAAGCTCAACCTGCCCGTGACATGTCTGCATAGGTCACGCAGGGCAACGCAACTTCACACCTACAGCCAAAACAATACAGAGGCTGGGACATTCTGGAGGTAAACAGAAGAAAATGATGCTGAGTGAAAGGCCATCTGTGACAGCTGCTGTGGCTAAACACACTGTATGAATGCTTCCCAGGGTTTCATCTGAGTTTACATTAAATCCGTGTGGGTGCCTGGCGGTCACAGCAGGAGCTTCTTCATGACTTCTAATCTGAACACACTGGTTGGCACCCAACACAGCACATCTGGAGTTTGTTAGACAACTTTTAGATTTTATTTTTTTCACTGGCCCTGGCTCGAAGTCCTCTAATGCAGCCTCTCGAAGTGTTGCTTTGCCATGAATGAGTCAAGGAGACAAGTTACCCTGGGGGGTGGGGATAGGTAAATTGGAACCCCAAATCTGAAAATCCCTCGTTGCTTCACCTCTTTCTGACAATAGGAATTGTATGTGAGGCAGTGGCAGCTCCATTTACTGGAAAGCCTGGTCAATGCTGACTGCTTCCTTGTTAGGAAACGGTCTTTAGATGGAGGCACATTCCAGCAATTCAAGGACTAGAAGCTTTAAATTAAAACAACACTGATGCCATATCCTCTTTCCAAAAGGCCTCTCCCTTGTCCAAAAGTTAGTACACACACTCAGAGAAATTAAAGAGTCTAAATGTATTTGGTGGGCCGGCCAAGTGGCTCAGTTGGTTAAGAGCTCGCTCAAGGGTGCAAGCTCTGAGCAACAGGGTCGCTGGTTTGATTCCTGGCCCGAGCTGAGCTGCCAACAGGTGGCAGGATGGCTCAGCTAAAAAAACCCAAAAAAAACCAAATGTATTTGGTAAGACCCGTTCCTTCCTGCTCACAGCATCCCATGCACATTTGAGAGGGCATATATGTGAAACTTGACGTGGAAGGGAAATAGAAAACCACGTCAGGAAGGACTCCCAAGAACCCCATTCTTTCTCCTTACACAGGTCACATCACTACAGAATACTCAGGGCATATAATTAGATATAAGACATTAGGGATTTCTTTAGCCATTACTTGCTAACATTATAAATTAATGGATTAATCGATATCATTAATTTTCATCTAATGAAAACATATAGTCTTGAGAGCCAGGTAATCAAAGCCACTGTGAATGAGATACAGCATTCTAGTCTGCTAGACATTTAATTCTACTTGGTGTCTTAAGGTGGAGGGACCATGAACTAGTTCAATCATATATCTATATATTCAGGCCTAATTACTTAAAAGAGCTAATACTGCTAAATATATATGCTCACCAACTAATGAAAGCTTCTCCTCAACAATACCCTCCTATTTCATATTATCAGCTCCCCCGCTTTACTGGTGTAATTGACAAAATAAATTGTATATATTAAAAGTGTACAATGTGGTGTTTTAATATAAGTATACATTATGAAATGATTATCACAATGAAGCTAACTGACATTTCCATCACCTCACAGAGTTACCATATTTTTTGTGTGGTGAGAACACTTGAGATCTACTCTCAGCAAATTTAAAATATACACTACAGTATTATTAATTACAGTTATGCTGTACATTAGATCTCCAGAAGTTATTCAACTTGTGCAATTGAAATTTTACACCCTTTGACCAGCATCTACCTCCCTATTTTCCCCACCCCTTAGCCCATGGCGGGGCTGATCCCAGGGACCCTCCTCACGGGCCTCTCGCCATGAACTATACCTGCTGCTTGAGCTGCTGCACCAGACGGTCCTTCTCCCGCTTTAGCGCAGCCACCTCCTCTTGGGTCTTTTTCTTAGAGGATGAAAGCTCCAAAAGAGCGATGTTGGCATCTTTTTCACTAATGGCAGCCAGAAGAGCTTCTTGCCTGCAAAAGAAGAAAGATACCAAGACTTTCATTTAATCCTCAACCATCCTTGGACGTCACTATCATTATCATCCCCATTTTATGAGTGACGAAACTAAGGCTTAGAGAGTTTACATAGCTCGCCCAAGTTCACACTTGAAGCAAACGGTATAACCAGGGATCCCATTCAGGATTTTTCTGATTCTCAGTGTTTTTATCATGTTGTTATACTGACATCTCAATTAAGAACTCCTAGATGTAAACCTGAAAAGTACACAAAGTTAATGACTTTTTAAAAAATAAGAAAAATCTTGTCACCTATACTCATTTTTTGGATAAGTATTTAGAAACTTCCATGCAAAATGAGGCATTACTGAAACTGAGAACACTTATGTACAGAGTGTATAACAAACTGCAAATATTAGTACATAGGATCGAGAGAATCAGCCTACTGTTTCGAGGGCATTCTGGACATCTATAATTCTTTCTATCGCATCAGTGCAAACAAGTTTCTAGTCATGGCTCTATTTGGCAAGGATTTGCACACTCTGAAACAATAATTTAAACTTTACAGATTCCTTGTGGTTTAGCTAAGTACTTTTTGGTTAATATCCAGAAGGAAAAGAAGGTGGGATTAAGTAGGGGGTGAACAAGAGAAATTTACAAAATAACCAGAATGAAGTTGGTGAACAATTAGCCTCATTGTCCAAAATGCATTCCTCAATAGCTCATCTTTTCTGTAAGTCATCTGTAAGGAGACAGATTTGATTTATGGAACTGTGTAAGTGGCCTGAGCTTTTGACCTGAGGAAATGCTGAATCTGAGAATGCAATGCCCAAGTTTAACCTTGCTTCTGTCTTTTGTTAAGATAATTATGCTTCAACAGCAGCCATATGGAAGAGTTTTCGTTTGGCCACAAGCTGGAAGTCTATCTCCAACAGTCTGACAAGGGTATTTTGTATTCTGGTGGGTAGGTCTGGGGAACTCCGAGTACTAACACAGGCAGGTTATAGATCAGTGTACATCGTGGAAATAAAGATTTGTTTACTGATCTTTGCTGTTGGAAGGGAAGAACGTTCTCACTGACCCAGTATAACTTTCCACTGTCCCCACACTGTATAGTTCTAAGAAATGGCAGATGGCTTATCCCTGGAAGCGCTAGTCAACACCAAAGGGATAATGATAGTCTAAATATATCCACTGACCACTTGAAAAAAATATGTTAAGTGGTGAAATGAGCTTAAAGGTGAAGGGGTTCAAGATGGTCTCACTATGCAGTTTCCTGTTGATTGCTATCATCTGTTCCTTTTTGGGAAGCTCAAAGACTGACAAAGCTGAAATGAGAAATGTGCTGTCTCAATTAGGGTGCTGCATTTCTGTGCACCAACAGTCAGAATCACAGATTCAGTAGCAGGCAAACGAAAGATGAGTGAAGGAGAAATTCTTCTAGCAGATTAGATCAAGTCACGAGCACCTCTGCTGAATGCAACATACAAAGCTGATGGGATCTGAGTTCCACTCCATGCTTAAGGAAAACATCATAATATGAAATAGTAAAAATTACTCTTTATTGTTGAAGCATCTTGACTGAATTCCAAATTCTTTTATAAATGAATTGGTCAGCTAGTGTGGTACAGTTAATCTCTCGGGTAAAATGTCACATTCTCAAACTGCAATATGATATAACAGGTGACAATTCACATTATGAATTTTAAACTAAAGGATGTGGCAATGGAGGCTAAACTATTGGAATAATGTCTTTTTAATAAGATATATAACTGGAAGTCTTTTTTTGGTATACAATTCAAATAAAAATTTTATGTCTTTGATGCTATTTTTAAAATATTTATTGTTTAAGCCACAGTTTACGGAATTCTGTTATAACAGCATTCTTTTTTTTTTAAACTTTGTTGGGGAAAAGTCTGTTTTTCCAGGACCCATCAGCTCCACGTCAAGTAGTTGTTTCAATCTAGTTGTGGAGGGTGCAGCTCCTTGGCTTATGTGGGGATCAAACCAGCAACCTTGGTGTTATAAGCCTGCGCTCTAACCACCTAAGATAACTGGCCCCGATGCTATTTTTTATTGAGCATTGATAATATACTATGAACTGCGCAGAATCAAAGTTTCTCATACTCATGGCTCTCACCTTCTAAAAATTCCCTAATAGATTAACATACCATTGTCCTTTCCATTTTAAAAGTCTACTCTTGATATTGATTTCTACATGTGCATGTGCCTAAAAAGGCAATTCACAGTCAAGACAAAATGTTTTGATTACATATTATACATAAAAGCATATAAACTCTGGGCGCCATTAGTAAATTTTACAGGTATATTAGCTTGCAGGTTTTTCTTTTGTTTTTGGAACGGGACAGAGGTAGTATTGTTCTCTTGTCTATAACTTTGGTAAATTTGAAATGGGCATTATAGGGGAGGCCAACATGTTGAAAAAAATTTGGAAGTCAGGCAAGAATATAAAAGCTAATAAATAGTAACAGCCATCTAACTTTTTGGGAATAAGAAAAACTGTTGTTCCCCTCATATGTCTGATGAAAAAGACCATATGGTATAGTTGACCTTATGTGGTTAATTTTTAAAAAGCACTCAAAAGCGTCTAAACTAAAAAATGTTGTTAAGAACTCCCTGCTTAACTCCCAGAGTGAATGAAATTCAGAGTGAAAAAAAAAAGCAAACTGCAAAAAGAATCTTATTTTAGTATCTACGTCCTCTTAATAATTGCTTCTTTGAAAAACAGATATTTTCTGATAAAATTAACACGTATTCATTAAAGAAAAACTGAAAGACACAGAAAACTATAAAGAAGAGAATGAAAATACCAGAAATATTTCCTTTATAAATTAGACACAATTGCTTGAGATCTGAAGTCACCTATTCTAACATGGCTATTTTAAAGAAAATGAAGCTTGGTGGGGATTAATAACCGACTTTAAGAGTTTCACCAACTAAAGGCTACCCACAAAGAGAAAGACTTGCGAGGAGAGTGCGTTCTGGCTCATTTTCCCAGGAACGCCTCAGGAACAATACAAGCACATAAAATATGAAAGCTAATATGTGTATGCCACAAGCCCAGAGCAAAGTAAATGCTGCAGTGCTCTTCCTGCCAAATCACTCTCCTTGTTCTATTAGGGTCTTTTCCTCAGCTAAAAAAAAAAAAAAAATTGAAAATGTGGACACAGAACCTTTCAAAGTGGTTAGTAACCCCCAACTGCATGATTAACAGGCCGTATTACCTACATAATGAAAGCAGGAGCAGAAATCCAACTTTTTAAGTGGGCTATTCACTCCATCCCTCTTGTTTGAAACTACCAGAACAGTGAACCTGCTCTTTGACTGGCAAATTCTAAAAGAATCAAGATGTCTCTAAAAGTACTCTGCTGTGGCATTTGAGCTCCAGGAAACAGTAAGACCACCAGCTCTATCCGCTTCCTCCGTCTGAGCAAGTTTCAGAAACAGGAGGCAACTACCCAAGGAAAATGGAACCCAGGGTCTTTTTGATGATTCATGAATTGTTGAGAACAACACATTAGCCTTCTATCACTAGTCAATAAGAGGTATAGTCAATGTTGGAAAGATGGCAGTTAACAATTTAAGAGACTCCTAAATTGTGTGTGTCTAACAGAAACGCAAGGCATAAAAGGAGTATGAATGAAGGGATGCTACTAAGGTTTATTTTTCCCTCTTCCTCCAACTGGTTATTTTAAATTGGATGATTACATAATCATGTTCCCATAATCCTGAAAACATCAGGAAAGGGATCAGATAGAGCTTGAGATGTATTATTGTCATGGACATGTAGTTTAATCTACTTCAATTTTAAGATAAATCTAAAATCTAGATGCTTTTTAAAAAAAATTACATTTATTAACATAACATTGGTTAATGACATTACATAAATTCCAGGTGTACAACTTTATAATACATCTGTATACTCTATTGTGTGCTCACCACCCAGTCTAATCTCCTTCCGCCACCATATTTGACCCTTGTACCCTTTCCGTCCTGCCCTCATCACCCTTCTCTTCTGGTAACCAACATTCTGTTGGCTGTTGTCTATGAGTTTGTTTTGTTTGTTGCTTTTTGTTAAAATCTAGATTCTTTTCTTGATGCCTCCTTGATTCTGATGCCTCCTTTACTTGTTATTTAACCAATTAACTATCCAGAGTGAGTAGTAAACTACTAGGATATCTCTTTAACTCTTTCATTTCACTTCCTTTTGATTACGATTTTCTCCAAATTCCCTTACAGAGATCTCCGAGGGTATGGCAGACACACCACACTAATTCAGTCAGCAAAAACCAGTCTGTAGGGTGAGCCGATGTGGGCAAGCCTGGCTGAAGTGCCTGATCTTTCAGACTTTGATCCCTGAACATCTTATTACCTCCTCTCTTGGTCACCTTTATTTACATACCCAGAAATATATATTTTTAAACATTTTTATTGGGGAATTGGGGGGATGGGAACAGTGCTGGGGAATTGGGGGAAGGGGAACAGACAATTTGCTGTCGTTTTGTTCTTCAGTCTAGTTGTGGAGGACGTTGCTTCACTGGCCCAAGTTGGCACCATCATTGCGCTCTTCCTGGGCGAGGCAGAT